TGATGATTATTTTATCTGAGAATTCAACAGAAATACTTTGCACATTAGAAACCAATATCAACTTAAGATTAACTGTGGACATTCAGTTCAAGATGGCACACTGAGCCCATTCATCTACCTCTTCTCTTACTAAAAACCTCAGGTCAGAAGGGTCTGGGGTGTGGGCAGGTCACAAAACAACTGAGTAAAAAACCACCGATGATGGTCAGTACAACTCTAATGACAAGTAAGTGCCAGCCACAGCATTTATCATGAGTCTAAAGTCTTTGAGGGCTTATAGTGTGAACTTTGAAATGGAGATAATAACAGGATATAGACAATCTCAATGGAGGGGGCGGGGCAAAGAAAGGCAACTCAGAACTAAGCAGAACTCTCCCTGCAGAAAAATTCCTTTCCTATAGAAGAAACTGAGGGACAGGACCCTGCTATCAGCCTTGTCACTGCAAGTGCATAAAAAAATTAGTCCAGGAACCTGTAATCCCAATGAAACCAAGGTGGGAGGACAGCTTGAGGCCAGGAGTTCCACACCAGCCTAGGCAACATACAGAGACTCCACCTTGACAAAAAAAAAATAGAAAAATTAGCTGGTATGGTAGTGAGCACTCCCCAAGCAGTCCCACCTACTTGGGAGGCTGAGCTGGAAAGATTCCTAGGTTTTGGGAGGTCAAGGATGCAGTGAGCCGTGATCACACCACTGCCGCTCCAGCCGTGGTGACAGAATGAGATCCTATCTCCAGAAAAAAAAAGAAACAGGAAAGCCCACCTCTCACTGTGGTGAGTGAGAAACCAGCTGCAGAGTCCTATGGTTGGCCATGAGACTCAGTAGATTAGACAGTATTTTGTAAAGAGAAATAATGATTTATACAGAATTATACCAATTTCCAAGATTTCAAGGGCTATCATTAAACTATCAGCATCAAAATAATTTAGGGTATTTATGTGCCCTACTCTAGACTTCTGAATCAGATTTTTGTGCATGGGGCCAGGAATCTACATTTTAACTGGGCCACCAAGCAATAGTTTTATAATTCAAGTTGGACAACCATTGTGACCTTTACTTGAAAATACTGGAAAGAAGAAAGCTAACAATCACTGGCCACTTAAAAAAAACGAAGAAGTACTAATGTGAAGAAATAGAGACACGATGACCCAAAGAAAATACAGTAAGGCAACAAAAATAAATAAAATGCCCCTAACTTTATTGGCATCCATTCTTTTATTTTTTTTTGAGATGGAGTCTTGCTCTGTTGCCACTGGAGTGCAGTGCCACGATCTTGGCTCACTGCAACCTCCCTCTCCCAGGTTCAAGCAAATCTTCTGCCTCAGCCTCCCAGGTAACTGGGATTACAGGTTCGTACCACCAAGCCTAGATAATTTTTGTATTTTTAGTAGGGACTGGGTTTCACCATGTTGGCCAGGATGGTCTCGATGGCTTGACCTCGCCCACCTCAGCCTCCCAAACCCTGGGATGGATCACAGGCGTGAGCCACCATGCCCGGCCCCTTTATTGGTATCTTGAGAGAGATTCAGGAGGCCAATAAATCCACGGAACAAACAAACAAAAAAAATATGTTCTTAAAATAATCAAGGAACAAGAATTATTTTTAGAAAATAAAAACAAAATCACGTCGCCATGTGTGTACCTATGCAACAATCTTGCATGTTCTTCACATGGACCCCAAAATCTAAAATGCAATTTAAAAAAATATTTAAAAAAAGAAAAGAAAAACAAACATTATTTTCAAAATGCAATAATATGACTTTCAGTGAATGCCAAGATGTAATAAGCCCTTTACAGCCTATCTCCCTTACTGATTACAACTAAAAGCTCTGTACAGAATACTAAAAGTAATTTCCTGAAAACTGAAAAGTAACAATGTCAAGTACATTGAGAAGGAAGTCAAAATGTGAAGAATAACCAATATGATGGTGAGTTTACTATTTTTTAAAAATCCTTCCTTCATCTACCTCTTTGACCTGAGGGTGGGCAGAGTCCCAGAATTAGGCAGCCAACTCACACAGCAAAACTCCAGTAGAAACCTCCTCTTTCTAGTGGGTATAAAACAACCATCTGTGGGTTACAAAGTGTGTGATTTGGAGCAATAAGAGGGGAGTTTCCAGTTTCTTTACTTTTTTTTTTTTTCTTCTCTGCTGACTCTGCTTCAAAGCTGGTCTAAGTTATGAAGCAGCACTATGGAGGCAGCACATCTGAAAGCCTAAGAGAAACCTGTCCTTCTGTCCTGAGAAATGGGAAAGGGGCCAGGGGAACAGGAAGAATATGGGAAGAATCTTCACTATGCATTTCTCTGGGACATAACAGTGGAGGAGAGGGACACTAAGACTCTAAGAGAAAGAAACCCCTGGTATAGTGAAAGGACCAGGAAAAGAGGCTCCTGGGAGCCAGACAGCATAAGGAAAGCCTCCAAGAGAACAGAGATCTAATTCCAAGTTGTGTATGTGTAGAAAAAGCATAAAGAAGTATAGCATGTTGCCCAGGCATGGTGGCTCACGCCTGTAATCCCGATACTTTGGGAGGCCAAGGCAGGCAGACTGCTTGAGCCTGGAGTTTGAGTACAGCCTTGGCAACATGGCAAAACCTTGTTTCTACAAAAACAAAAACAAAAATTAACTGGGCGTGAGTCCCAGCTACTCTGGGGGTGAGGTAGAAGGATCACTTGAGCTCTGGAGGCAGAAGTTGCAGTGAGCTGAGATTGCACCACTAAGCACCTGTGGTCCCAGCTGCTAGGAAGGCTGAGCTGGGAGAATCCCTTGAGCCCAATGGGTCAATGCTGCAGTGAGTCCAGATCATGCCACTGTACATCAGCCTGGGCTAGAGAGGAAGATTTTGTCTTTAAAAAAAAAAAAAAAAAAAAAAGTATAGCACAGGTGGGAGGAGATGAACATCAATTAAAAACACCCAGATTGGGAGGCTGAGGCAGGAGGATCACCTGAGGTCAGGAGTTAGAGACCAGCCTGGTCAATATGGCGAAACCTCATCTCTACTAAAAGTACAAAAATTAGCCAAGCATGGTGGCAGGTGCCTGAATCCCAGTTACTCAGGAGGCTGAGGCAGGAGAATCTCTTGAACCTGGGTGGCAGAGGTTGCAGTGAGCCGAGAACATGCCACTGCACTCCAGCCTGGGCAACAAGAGCAAGACTCCATCTCAAAAAAACAGACAGACAAAAAACACCCAGAAAGATGCAATAATTCAGAGACATCAATCCTCCCCCAAATAACGTTTTTTGTTTGTCTGAGACAAGGTCTGGCTCTGCCGCCCAGGCTGGAGTACAGCAGCCTGATCTCCACTCACTGCAACCTTCGCCTCCCAGGCTTAAGCAATTCTCACACCTCAGCCACCTGAGTAGCTGGGACCACAGGCAGACAACACTAGCCTGGCTAATTTTTGTATTTTTATAGAGACAGGGTTTTTCCATGTTGCCCAGACTGATCTCAAACTCCTGAGCTCACGTGATCCACCTGCCTCAGTCTCCCAAAGTGATGGGATTACAGGTGAGAGCTACCACACCCAACCCCAAATAAATCTTTAACTCAATGCAATCATAATTAAAATCCTTCATATGTTTACTTTTTAATTTGATGAATATATTCTCAAATTAATTTGGAAAAATACTGAAGAATAAAACATTTTTGAAAGACTAATAAAAGACTTTAATGCTACAATAACATTAAAAATACATCATAATTATGCTGTGACAGAGAATTAGATCAAAGAAACATTGAGACAAAGAAATCTATGTGTATATGAAAATCTTACATTAGATAAAGTATACTTTGAAGTCTGTGGGTATAAATGAAACATTTACTAAATGCTATCAGAACTAATAATCTATTTTAGGACAAATAAGTTAGATTTCTACATATCATTTATAAAAATTATGAAAGATCAAATACTTAAAAATATTCAAAGAAGATGAAAGACCAATACACGTATGACAAAAAAAGTAAAAGAAAACTATAACTTAAGTGACATTGCTTTTTTAATCTTTTAGATTCCCAATATGTTAAAAAAAAAAATCTGTGAATGTAAGTGTCTGTCTGCATTCACTGAATGTGTCAAATGTTTGGAAATTCCTACACTAAAAAAAGAGAAAAAATATAGAGAAAAAAAGTAGATCTGAAGACTTAAACATTTCAAAACTTATATACATTTAAAAAAATCACAAAGTAAAAAGACAAATAGAAAGAGTAAATGTATTTGTACAAAACATGACAAAGTTAATATTCTTAATATATTCAAAATTCATATATCATGCTATAAAAATTGGTAAGACTCCAATGAATAAGTAGATAGAGAACTCTAAATACAACAAAGAAACAACTTAAAATGAAATGCAATAATCTACATGCCAATTTAGCAAACACTGGGGTAGGGGAACACCCAATGGGATAATGCGGTGAAGCAGGCATGCTCACTTGCTGACAATGGGGAAAAGTTAACACAGTCTTACTAAGGAGCAATTTGACACATTAAGAACAAAGAACCTCAAAAAAAAAAAGCAGATGTCCTCTGACAGATTAAAATTTGGGAAAGTCTTCAATTCTAGCCTCACATTTGACAGCTGCATTTTTTAAAAAGTCACATACCATTTTGAACACCAGTTTCTTCAATGTAAAATATCAATACCAGTCACTAATTCACAGAGTTGTAATATTTAAAAGAGAAAAACATGTAAAAATGTCTGAAAAACTGCAAAGCACAGGGTTGCCTAAGGGTCTGTAAACTTGGGGAAATTTTAGAAGATCTTCAAACTCTGACTGAACATGTGTGAATGTTTGTGAAAGATCTACACAGCTCTATCAGACTCTCGAAAGGGCCCTGATCCAAAAGAAAACTGAAAACCACTAAAGGCATGGAAAATAAAAGTAAGAATCTTCTTCCCAGTGTCCAAAAACTGTGTTGTTGCCTGACACACTATAGGCCCAAATTAGGAATTCACTGTGAAAATCCAGGTCATATTTAAGATGATATTCAACTTACCCTGTTAATTTCTAAGCCCCTCAGAGTAGGATTTAGTGATTTCTGAGGAGATTAATTCATTCTCTGATGTAGCTGTAAATGGAACCTGAAATTAGGAAAACAGTAAGTTAATCAATTGGATCTAATTGGATCAATCACATGAAATTAATGCAGTCTACTTTTGAAAATGCATGGGGGAAGCAGTAAATAAATTTAGTAGATTTAAAGTACTATTCTGAATTCATAAAGATACACATAATTAATATATAAACTACACTGGGACATTTCTTCTGAAGCAAACAAAAACAAAATTGTATATATTTTAATAAAATGGAATATAGAAAATAAATTCTATAAAATAATTTTTATCATTTGAAAAATAATAGCTTTTTAAAAAATTGACATTTAATAACTATATATTTATGGGGTACAGTGATATTTCAATACATATATACAATGTGTAATGTGTAATAATCAAATCAGGGTAATTAGCATATCAATCCCCTTAAACATTTATCATTTCTTTGTGTTAGCAGCATTCAAAATCTTCTCTTCTATTTAAAAACATACACTAAATTATGTTAATGATAGTCACTCTACATTGCTACAGAAGACCAGAACTTATTCCTCCCATCTAACCTATAATTTTCTGTTATCCAACCTCTCCCAATACCCATCTCCCAATTACTCTTCCTGCCTTTAGTAACCGCAATTATATTCTTTCCTTTTACATGCTCAACTTTGTCTCCCACAATATAAGGAAGAATGCCATATTGGTCCTTCTGTGTCTGACTTATTTAACTTTTTTTTTTTTTGAGACGGAGTCTCACTTTGTTGCCAGGCCAGAGTGCAGTGGTGAGACCTCAGCTCACTGCAACCTCCACCTCCCAAGTTCAAGCGATTCTCCTGCCTCAGCCTCCAGAGCAGCTGGGGCTACGGTTACATGCCACCACATCCAGCTAATTTTTATATATTTAGTAGAGATGGAGTTTCACCATGTTGGCCAAGATGGTCTTGAACTTTAAACCTGGTCATCCACCTGCCTTGGCCTCCCAAAGCACAGGGATTACAGGCGTGAGCCACCGTGCCCAGCCTGACTTATTTAACTTAATATGCTGTCCTCCAGGCTCATCCATGTTGCTGCAAATGACAGGATGTCATTCTTTTTTATGGCTGAATAGTATTCCATTCTGTATATATACCATATCTTCTTTATCCATTCATCTGTTGATACATATTTAGGTTGATTCTCTAGCTTGGTTACTGTGATATGCCGCAATAAACATGGGAGTATAGCTATCTCTTTGACACACTGTTATCCTTCACTTTGGATAAATACATAGAAGTGGGATTGCTGAAACACATGGCAGTTCTATTTCTAGTTTTGAGAAGTATCCACACTGTCTTCCATAATGGTGGTCCTAATTTATATCCCCATCAATAGTGTATGAGTGCCCTTTTCTCCAAATCTTTGCCAGCGTTTATTTTTTGTCTCTTTGATAATAGCCATTCTGAGGTGAAATAATCCTCATTATGGTTTTGATTTGCAATTCCCCGATGATTACTAAAGTTTAACATTTTTTCATGTGTTTGTTGGCCTTTTGCATGTTCCTTTTGAGAAATGTCTAGTCAGGTCATTAGCCTATTTCTTAATTGAATTATTGGCTTTTTGCTGTTGGAGCTTTTTACTTATTTTGGATATTAATCTCTTATCAGAAGAATAGTTTGCAAATATTTTCTCCCATTCTTCAGGTTGTCTCATTACTCTGTTGATTGTTTTCTCTGCTGTGAAGTTTTTTAGCTTGATATAATACCATTTGTCTATTGTTGCTTTTGTTGGACCTGTGCTTTTGAAGTTTTAGCCATGAAATCTTTGCACAGATCAATGTCCTGAAGCATTCTACTTAGGTTTTCTTTTAGTAGCTCTACAGTTTCAGATCTTACATTTAAGTCTTAAAACATGTGGAGCTGATTTTTTTGTATGATGAGAGATGAGGGTCTAGTTTCATTCTTCCACATATGGATGTGTAGTTTTCCCAGCACTATCTATTGAAAAGGCTTGTCTTTTCCCCAATGTATGTTCTTGGTGCCTTTGTTAAAAATCAGTTGGCTCTAAATATGCAGATTTATTTTGGGGTTCTTGCTCCATTGGTCTATGTGTCTGTTTTTATACCAGTGCATGCTGTTTGGGTTACTACTGCTTTGCAGTATATTTTGAAGTCAGATAATGTGATGTCTCCAAGGTCCTCTCTCACCTCTCAGGAATTCTTTGCCTATTTGGGATCTTCTGTGGTTTCATACACATTTTAGGATTAATTTTTTTTCTATTTCTGTGAAGAATGTCATTGGTATTTTGATAGGGCTTGTGCTGAATTTGTACATTGCTTTAGGTAGTATGGTCATTTTGACAATATTAACTCTTTGTTAATCCATGAACATGAAATATGTTTCCCTTTTTTGTATGTTCTCTTCAATTTATTTCATCAGTGTTTTGTAGTTTTTATTGTAGAGATCTTTCACCTCCTTAAATTTATTCCTAGGTAGGGTTTCTTTTGTAGTTATTATAAATAGAATTGCTTTCTTTTCCAGCTAGTTGATTATTAACGTATAGAAATGCTACTGATTTTTGTATGTTGATTTTGTACTCTACAACTTTATTGAATTTATCAATTTTAAAATTGATAAGTGGAGTTTCTACGTTTTCCTATATATAATATCATGTCATCTGCAAACAGAGACAATTTGACTTCCTCTTTTCCAATTTAGATGCCCTCATTTCTTTCTCTTGCCTATCTGCTCTGGCTAAGACTTCCAGTACTATGTTGAATAAGAGTGATAAAAGTGGGCATCCTTGTCTTAATCCTTTTCTTAAAGGAAAAACTTTCAACTTTCCCCATTCGGTATAATGTTAGCTGTGGGTTTGTCATATATGACCTTTAACTGTACTGAGATATATTCCTTCTATGTCTAACTTGTTGAGAGATTTTGCATGAGGCGGTTAAATTTTATCAAATGATTTTTTCTGCACCTGTTGGGATGATCATCTGGTTTTTGTACTTCATTCTGTTGATGTGATGAATCACTTTTATTGATTTGCATATGTTGAACCATCCCTAGGATAAATCCCACGTAATCATGCTGTATAATCTTTTTGATGTGCTGTTGGATTCAGTTTGCTCGTATTTCATTGAAGATTTTTGCACCTGTGTTCATCAGGAATATTGGCCTGTAGTTTTCTGTTTTTGTTATATATCCTGACCTTGGAAGTGAAGAAGCTGGCAGCCCAAAAAACCCCATAGGCCCAGTTTGCCCCTAAAACCAACCAGTCAAACAAAATAAAATTCTGTTTTCTCTAGGCAAAGAATAAGGAAAGACACAATCCACACAAAGGCCATTATACCTAACAAAACATCACCAAAAACAAAAGAAAAAAACAACTCTGCGCCCGTAGGTCCCACCCCAACCAGCAAAGGTGACACAGGGAGCCTAGAAGTCTGCTATCCTCTGGCTGTAATAGGGCACTCAAGTCTCCCTGCACCAGTGATGTCAGAGAAGGCCAGTCCCTGCCATGTGATCATGAGACCTCCTTTTCTATAGTGTCTGTGAAGACCACATGGAGAGCTTGGATCTTCCCCTGGTAGTAACAAGGTACCCTTCTCCCTGTCTACCACAGGCTGTTTTTAGAGAAGCCTAGTAGTAAGTCAGGCCTTTCACCATCACACAGTAAAGAGACTATCCCCCTGTGGAGGATATGTGGGGAATAATGACTTATTCCTGCCCCTTCCGGTCAGGGAGAAATCAATGGGGGCTGGAACTCCCATCCATGACCAGCAGTAACAAAGAATCTCCCCCTAAATTGAGTGTCAAGGAGGCAAAGTAGAGAACCTAGATTTGTATCCCGACATGAAAGTAATGAGGCACAGCACTCCCTCCTTCTCATGCTGGGGCAGGGCCAGAGGAAGCCAACTAAATCAGAGCATTTAAATAATACCCGGAGTGTCAGCCCTTAACACCAAAAATGTCCAGGTATCAAAAATCACTCGTCATACCAAGATCCAGGAATATCTCAAACAGAATGAAAAAAGACAATCCACAGAAGCCAATACCAAGATGATGGAGGTGTTAAAATTACCTGAAAAGCATTTTTAAGCAGCCATCATAAAAATGACTCAAGGAGCCATTACAGATATACTCGAAACAACAAAATAATTGAGAGTCTCAAAAACAAAGAAAGATACAAAGCACATACTGAAAAGAAAGAAAAGATACAGAGAAGAACCAAATGGAAATTTCAGAACTGAAAAATACAATAGCTGAAACAAAAGATGGAATGGATGGATGTAATAGTAGAATGAAAGAGACAGAGAAAAGAATCACTGAACTAGAAGACAGAACAATTAGATACTATCCAGTGTAAACGACAGAGAGAAAATAGCCTGAAAACAAATATTTAGAGCCTCAAGACCCGTGTGACTGTACCAAAAGATCTATCTTCTGCCATGGAGTTCAACAAGGAGAGAACAAAGTGGGCAGGGCTAAAAAAGTGCTCTAGGAAATAAAACCAAGTAACTTTCCAAGTTTGGCAAAATACATAAATTTATAGATTCAAGAAGATAAGTGAACCATAAACAGGATAAACCCAAAGCAATCCACATTAAGGCATATCATAGTTAAACTTCAGAAAGCTAAAGACACAGAAAATGTAATAAAAACAGTAAGTGAGAAAATGATCATTTATCTATCTATAAGGGAAAATAATTCAAATGACAGCAGACATCTCATCAGAAACAAAGGAGCAATGAAAGAAGAGGCACAACATTTTGTACTGAAGTCCACATCTGCTCATCTGTGTCTATTTTTGCATCTGTTTTTTCTCTTGTTCCTAACTCTTGGCATGCGTGGAATCTGTGGACTCAATGTCAAACACTGTATGATTAAAAATTATAAAGGATGTGAATTTTATCTTCAATTCAAGAGCATTTTTTACTTTCTGGTTTGCAGTAGGAGTTAATCCCATCAGAGATCAAGCTAACTTGAAGCTTGTTTTCAATCTTATTAAGACCTAGTCTACTTCTGTTTCACTCTTACTGCTAGGATGCAGTTGTT